GGCCCCGGCGCTGAGGTGACACCTCGAGGAACCCCGGGGAGCGCAGCCCGCACCCGCGTGGGGAGCTGTAACCCGTGTGGGACCCAGTACCGCACGGGGAACGCAGTACCAGCCATGGGTGAAGAGGCTGGGCTGGTGTTGGAGCACCTGCAAGACGGCAGACAAGGGTATATAAGAAGGTGCACCATCGGTTTGCCAGCTGGCCATCCCTCAAGGATGCTGACAGGACAACAGGCCAAAGGAAGAGCTGTTGTTCCCAGTAATCTCTCTGCATTCCCCCTGATGCCATCGTGCTTTATTAGTGTATGGCGTGGTCATACATGTCAGGGGATTGCTCAGTTAAGTGGCGCGATGACGTAGTAGTTGCATATTTTCAGATGCTTCCTATAAAATCCAAATTTCTCTTTAGATACACTGTTCTTAGTCAAATTTGAAGGGAGAGAAAACGATTTTAACTGCCAGCATCTTGCCCTCTAAAAGTACCTTTAGCGTCACTGCAGTATCTAAATGCTCTGCTTAAAAAGGAAACCTTATTTAACGTAGGGCACAAAGTCTTCTTTCCAGGTGGCATCTTTAAAATGGAACTTTTCGGTACATGACTTCAAAGTTATGCTGTTTTGCTGATTGTTCTGTTAGTATGGATTCTGTGTGGTAAGAGGAGCCATGAATAAGTTACATCTTCTGATCAATTCCGTACTGGAATGATAGGAAAGAGGGCTTGACCTGTCCTTACCATTGTCTAGACGTGAAGACAGATCTTCAGGGATCTCAGATTTTGGGATAGGCTCTTTGGGTCACAAAAAAGGAAAGGGAAAGCTAAAGCTATCAGGCAGGGCACTGTGGGGGAAAAGAATCCTCTCACCTATGAGATGTTGCCCTCAGAGTCTGTTACATCTTTTGATCAGCACTGTATGAAAACACTGTTAACGGTGGAGTTCGGAACATTGTAGTTTACTGAACATTTTTAAAACTTGTGATGAAGGTCTCCTGGCTGACAGAGCCTGTTGGGATTTCAATAAGGCTTTTGACAAAGGCTGCCGGAGAAACTAAGCAGTAATGGCATAAGACCAAATGTCTTGGAATGAACAACTGGTTAAAGATGAAGCACAGGGGGTGGGAGTGAGTGCACAGTACTTGTAGTATAGGGGTCACAGGTGCACTGCTGTAGCTATCTGTGCTTGGACCTGCTCAACATACTCATAAATGACTTAGAAAATGAGCTGGGCACTCGGGTAACTGCCTTCTGATGATACCAAGCTATTCAGGGGCTTGAGGACAAAAGCTCACTGAAGATCTGCAGAAGGACCTCATGAGCCTGAAAAACTAGGCAGTAAAATGGCAGATTACATTCTGGATAGATAAAAATGATGCACAGTGGGGAAGAACATCCCAACGTCAAGTATAAAATTATGAGCTGCAAGCTGACTAGTACTGTGCAGGAGCAAAACCTTGGAATTACAATGCGTTTCTGTGAAAGCCTCACTTCAGTGCTTAATAGAGTGAATTCGTGATTTGACCACATCTTGAAAGCTTTGTGTGGTTCCAAGTTCCCTCAGCTCAGGAAAGACAGAATAGTAGTGGAAAAAGTTCAATGAGAGGTAAAAAGGATGATCAAAGGTACTTTGCTCTCAACTTTCATGTAAGGAACAATTAAGTAAGCGTCTGTCTGAAAAAAGGATGGCTATTGGTATAAAAAAGGGCAAAAAATCATGAGTGTGCATTGTAATGTAAACAATTATAGGTGGGAATTGTGTGTGTGTATCCCATGAAAGCCACCAGGGACAATTCGAGCTCACTGACTTGTATCAGCTGCTCTTCAAAGGTGATTATGTGGTGTTATGAAAATTCATTTCCCTAACTGTTATAACAATCCGTCTTTGTAATATGGAAGTATATTAACTTTGTTAATATATATTAGCTCACGTTACACACTGCAATGTAATGAGGTAGTGGAATTTTACTGGAGACTTTGGTATTATATGTGCTCAAGTAAAACAAACTAAAGGACAGCCCAGCCCTGGAAATAAGGACTTTGCTTCTTGGAAGCTTAGAGCTGTCCACGAAGGATAAAGGATACCTATGGACAACCAAGATAAAGCCAGCATCCTAGCCCCTCTAACGCGTCTTTAAAACCCTCCCGGTGATCTGGCATCATAGATAAGTAACTCTAGCAAGACTGA